AAATAAACACAAAGCAATCTGATGGAGCACTATTAATAAGAGGCATTAGGAAAACTCTCTTATAGGAGATGGCCCTGCTCCCTGAAGGGGACCAATAATTTCATGAGGGTAGGAATAGAATATATAGACTCAAGCTGTTATTATTACCTGGCTCTGCTATGCTGAGAATACCTCATATTTATATAATGCCTTGAAACTTGTAAGATGCTTTACATTGGATATCTCAGAACCTTACAACTACTCAGAAAAAGAGTTTCCTATTCCATTCTGCGACTGAGGATATTGAGCCTTAGGGAGGTGAAGGGACTTGCTCAAGGACACACAGTAAACATACAGACTCCAGTTTTCCTGACTCTTCAGTCCCCTGCTGTATGCACTGGATCACCTGGTTGATGTGAAAAGGAGAGAGAGAATTCTAGGCACAGGGAAGAGCCTGTGATCATACAGAAGAACCTCACATCAAGATGTGAGATAAAATGTACTGTACAGAAAACATGAAGTCAACCAGTCAGGCTAGACCTTATGGTGCATGAGGAGGAGAAGGAAGGTGCAGTCCTCCTGGAAAGACAAGTACAGGGCTCTGAATGCCAGCTAGAGAAGCTTGGACATTTCACCAAATTGTAGAGCGGCATGCTAGATATGGAGTCAAATGACCCGGTTTCAAATCCCATCTTTCCTACTTATACTGATCTGTGACTGTGGGCAAATAAGTTTGTCTCCCTAGGTCTTAGTGTCCTCATCTGTCAAATGAAAGGGTTGAACTATAAAATTTCTGAGGTCCCATCTTCTTTTACATCTATGCTCCTACTTCCCTAGGCCTCAGTTTCTAAAAGAAATAAGAGGTTGGACTAAATCATCTCTAAAGGTTCTTTACTGCTCCAAAATTCCATGAGTAAACTTATTGCATTTTAAAATGAAAATTAGTGGGGAACTAGTACTAATTATATGAAAATTCAAATTTTAGAAACTTTGTAGCAATACATCCAGAAGAGGCAATATGGTACAGTGGAAAGAGCAATGGACTTTGAATCAGAAGAGCCAGATTCAAATTCCACTTCTGCTTCTTATTACATATATAACCTTGGGGAAGTTATAACACCTTCCCAGTCCTCTTTACTCCTCTGCAAAATGAGGGGGTACAACTTGATGGCCTCTGAAATCTCTTCCAGCTCTAAATCTGTAATTCTATGATCTGCTTTGTGAAATAAGATGCATTTGCATCTGATCTAGAATCCCCAGTATGAATTTCCTTCAAGATAAAATGGTAAATAAAGTTTAACTTAAAAAAAAGTAAGTTGGAATAATAATAATAATAATAATAATAATAATAATAATAATAAAAAACATCCAAAGCATAAATACCTGGGTTTCCTAAGGTTTGATTTCATTTCTCTCTGAAAATAACTTAGAATGACCATTTTCTAATTTATCTCACCGCTTTCCTCAAAAACAACAAAATCCTGCTATTTTTCTAACACATTAGTAAATGTTAGAAAAAATGTTTCTAACATTTTTGGGGTAGTTTTTCTACATTTCATAGATTTTTCTACAAAATTAGTAGCTGTTTTGTAAAGTGACAATAATTGATGTTTTTCATATTTATCTATATATATATGTATATATTCTTACTGTTTTATCTTACTACTTGGAATCAAAGGCAAAAATATTAAATATTTACACTTTAAATGCCTCTTCATTATGACTTGCCTTAAAATATCTTTACCTTTAAAAACAGATATTCCAGGACTGTTGTGCATTTTTACTTTTTTTTTCTTTTCCATTCTACTTTTTTTCTTTTCTATTTCTCCATGGAAATTATATTTTAATAAACACAAGTCATTGGAAAGACCATGCACAGTTCTAGACTTGGTATTTAGTTGGCCACAATAAGACCAAACACCATTATTTGCTGCTTTTTGTGATACCTGAAAGTTTCTAAAAGTAATATTCCTCATGGTTGTACCTTTTATGAGAACATTTTCAAGTTTTCTAATTTCACAGTGAAAAAAAAATCATCATTTTCTTAGAGATTTCTCTCTCCTTCAGGGGTAGATTTCAAGTTCTGAAACCCCCAATGAACTTTCAATGGAAAACTTTATTGCCTTAAATTTTAAGTATCTATTGGTTATTTTTCAAATAATGTAGATCAGTTTTGACTTCAAAATACTAAAATTCTGTAAAATATGTTGTCACCTACTATAAAATTTCAAAAGAACCAAGAAAAGGCTAACTTACCTGAAGATAATTTATGTAATGGTAGAAGATATGCTTGCCAGCCTCAAAGTTCTTACAAGGACCTTGCTAGAGGAGGGAGAGGGTAGGTGAGGGAAGGGGATGCAAAATAAATATACAAGAAATAAGCAGAGGATATAAATAAATGTAATTAATGTACAAACTATATCTAAATTATGAGGAATGTGAAAAAGGTAGTTGAGGTTCTTTAAGAAGCTTTTTGAAGACAAAGATTAACAACTATATCTTAAGATGTATAATGAAGTTTATGCAACTGGAGAGGGGGGAATAGGTGTCAATTAGCAGATTCTTTTCAACTAGAATGAATTCAGACTATTATCTTTATCTTATTTTCTTTTATATGATTAGCCCTTTTCAGTGTTTAAGCTTTCAATAAATGGAGATGTTGTGTGATCAGAGACTCCTAGTCATAAAATGTTAGCATTTAAAAGGATAGAACACTGCCTTTTCATTATACTAAATGGGGAAACAAGGTTACGACAATGAAGTGACTTTCTAAGGTCACACAGAAAGTGAGGGACAAAGTCAAGACTTGAATGCAAGTTTGCTTGACTCCTAGTCATCTTCTTTTCCACTTTGAGAAGAGCCAAAAGCAGCTCTAGAACATACTCTGCTTCTTATTTTCTCAGAAAGTGAAATTAAAATGTATATGTCAGGTCCCAGTTATCAAGAATTATGTGCTGACCTTCACATGTAAAACAACATCGAGGAATTGTTGCTCCCTGACCAGATGCCATACTTGAGAGTATGTCAGTGCTTTTCTATCTATATTAATTAAGAGTCAATAGTGTTTTGTTTTGTTGGGGGGGGGGCTAGAATTAGATAACACTTTAGCAGATTTCTGATCAGTGCAAGAAGCATGATCCTCCACATTGTCTGGAGCTCCCTCAAATAATTTATTAAAGCAGATGCCAAAAGAAAAAGGTAGAAAATGGTGACCAAGACTTTTCTTGATCTCAAGAAATGCAATCTTTCTGCTGTATGGAAACTTACCTTCCCTTAAGGATAAATTACCATTTAAAGATTAATTGAAATCAGGATTTGGGGAATAATCAGATTACTACATGCTATCAACATTTGGTTAGAAAGTAAACTCTTAAGTTTAGCAAAACAACATTTCATTTTAGTCAATTGAGTCAAATAACTGATCAATTCAGTATTTTTTTTTAAATTCCGGAGTCTATTTTTGTTTTTGTTTTTGCTAGTTGTTAGATTGAATTGGCCAGTTAGTCCATTAAAAATAAATTCAGTAGGGCCATCCACACTCTACACAACTCATTTTCATATCCATTGTCAGAATGCCAAAAAAAGAGACATATCTTTGAATTAACTTTGTAGTTGGAAAACTACAGATGGAGCAGAGAAGGAGTATCAGGTTGTCAATAGCTCTTTAAAATGCAAAAGCATTTAAATCTTAAAAATGAACAAACAAAAAACCCCTTACAATTCGATGCATTACCTCCAATTCCCAGTTCTTTTAACACCATAATTTTAAGTACTTATTATAGTTATTAAATACATGGAATTTATGTTATATTTTGTTTTCAAATTTTATAAGTACAATTCCTACCTGGAGTTAATCATTTCTTACTTCTTACCAAACAATTCAGATCAAAACAGAAACAAAACCAAACCATTTGTACCCTAAATTATCACATTGTTAACCAATCTATTTGGCATCTTATCACTTTCTGTAGCATCTCATTCTTCTTTTATAAACTCCACTCATTTTCCCAAAACATTTCAACCAAATCTAATTTCCCCAACATTAGATTCTATAGCACCATTAATAAATCATGACAATGATTCTTGGAAATGGAACATTTTCCTCCATCCTTATTTCTCTTTCCTTATTGTCAACCTTCACTTTATGTTATATGTAATTAATCAATATAGACTGTCAATGGGATGTAGAATGACAGTGGGATGTCAGTATTAACCTATGAATATCTTCAAGAACAAAGCAGATGAAGAAAAAAAATCTATTCACTTCATTCCAGTTTCAGCCTTGCTTAATTCCTTCCCTCCATGTTTTTTCCATTTCCCATATCTTATTCCAGTGCTTTTCTTGACAGAAGGGTTGGGTTTGAATATGGCTGTGCCATTGACTAGCTGTATGACCTTGGGCAAATCACATCCTTTCTGGCCTTTAATCTTCTCATCTTTAAAATGAGAGTTTTGGGCTTTGTGATCTCCAAGGTTACTTCGAGCTCCAAATTCTACAATCCAGTTCCCATTCTTCCATTCCTGATAGCCACAGTATGTATCAAGTATTAGAAACAAAGAAAGAGATTCAAGAGCTATTCTAAAGTAGATGAATGAATTAGTAGGTAGATGTTATATCTGACTAAGATATATTTAAATTTTCTTCCATTTCACTGAGGCATCAGAACTTTTAAAAATGGAAACATATACAATAACAAAGGGGAATCTTAGCACCAAAGGGAATGATGCCCATAAGTAAGAATAATAGTCATATTAGTAGTTGATTTACCTTGGATATTTTAAAATATTGACAGCTAATGTTTGTAATCAGAAATGAAAAGAATAACACAAAAATAAATCTGTATATAATTTGTTTCATTCTCTTGTGTATATAATTTAGAAGTAGAAGAGCATTGTTATTTTGTTCATATAAATGGCAGGAAAAGGGTTCTGACTTTCTAAAATGACTTAATCAAGAAGAGTTATTTCAGGGAATGACTGAGCCAGAAGTGACCTTTGATTTTTAACTTCATTTTGTCTAGACCCTGCTGTGCGCCTGGCATTGTTCAAAAATCGTGGAAATAAACAACCCCCCGTGAAGCCAGCAAAGAAAGCACACCATGCCAGACGAGGGTATTTTGAAGGTAGGGTCAGTCACGCCTATCAATTAAGTTACAAACATAAAGATTAGAAATGGCTTTAAAATAAATGAAAATCCTCAGTAAAGTATTGAAAATGTATATAATTAAGAAATATATCAGTACAGTACTCAAAATGTAATTGAGTAAAAGTAAAAAATTAATAGCAAAAATTTTAAAAAAACAAATAAATTATCATATCAGAAGTTTATCTTGCACTTGTACTAGGGTTATGTGAACTTACCTTTTTAGTGGCATATATCATATATATAATATATAGATAGATAGATGTATGTGTATATGTATATACATCTACTAATGTAGATGTATATATGAAAACTTTATCCTCACACTGCATAAAGGTTATTCTATTTTTTACCTATTTTGGTGGGACTGGTTGGTTAAAAGCTGAAATGAATATACGATACGAAATGAATATATGTTGTATATAGATTTAATTAAGTTCGATGAACTTTACATTGAATTTTGAAATCCTTCAATGGATTCAAGAATATGCTCTCTTCACTTTTGCTAGAAAAATCCCACCCACCCCTCCTTGCATTATCTAATAACAGCACCTCTCCCTCAGAGTCGTTGTGAAGATCACATGGGTTAATATTTGTAAAGTGCTTAGCACAGTGCCTGGCACATAATAGGCCCTATATAAATATGAACTTTTATTATTTTGTTTATGAAATACACATTAAAATGTTCAGAAGAGAGAATGCTAATTTTACTATTTGAAAAATGAAAGGATTGCTGTTGAACTGAAATGTTACTAAATGACTAAAACAATGAAATAGATGTTTCACAACTATACCTATGAAAATCTACCTTTTCATAGTATTACCTATACTTTCTTGGAGGAGTGAACCAGAGAGTTTAGAATACCATGAAATGTGTAGAACTTCAAATTCAGTTTTATGAATTATATATTAACTATTAATAAACATTTGGACTTGTTATTTTCTAAATCTTTGTTATTCTAAAAATTGAGGTATTATGCTAATATTTCTTGTGTATTCATTTCTTCATATATTATTTTTTAAACTTACTTCTAATCATAAAACTCCAACCGCAGGAACTTTTAGTTACTATCAAAGGGGTCAAAGATACTAAATGTGAATTTTAAAAAAAAATTATTATTGTGTGAATGAAAGTTTGTTTTTTTAGAGAGCTCTTTAAATACTTTTTCAATAAAAATAAGGCTTGTAATTTTAAGCAAGCCTAATCTCCCTGCTATATTCTCAGTGCTATAGTTTTATTTCTTTAAATGGGGGACAGAGCGGAAATTCTAACTAAAATCAATAGCAACTCCACAGATGTTACCTGTTAAGTAGGAGGATTGTTACTTTGGAAAGGGGATGCCCTAGGAAGAAAGACAATTAGAGCATTTTTACTCCTTTAAACTGGAACATGTCTCAGTAGTAGATAGAAGAAAATCTTTTCAATATATGAAATTTTGTTTGACTCTTTCCAAGGGACTTGCAGATTTGTTACAAACCAGAACAGTAGACATACACATGTATGTGTAGTCTTTGGTATATGTATGTGGAAAAATACACATATGTATATGTATATGTGTATGTATGTGTATCATAGAATTAGACAAAATAATACTGGGTAAGGTGACCCATATATGTTTGGAACATTTTCATGCATGCTTCATTATACAAGGCAACATATTTGTACTTGTATTCTTTCCCCATGTGAAATGTGTTTGCTTTACTTTTTCTTTTCAACCTCAAGTGCATCTGGCATTTCATTAATTTCACAGAGCAGCTTTTATGTACTTACCAAATTTTCAAGAGACTAACAGGCATTCGAAAAAAAATTGGAAGGAAAGGGCTTTGCAAAAACAGTTGTATTTGGAGGTTTGCTTTTTTTTTTCAGATTGGAAAAATGCAAATTAAATTAACAATTGGACATACTTCCTGAAGAAGTGAGGAAGGTCTGATTTAAGAGTAACACTTGCAACATCTATTTAACCATATATCCACTGCATATGGTAGTCTATGGGACAGTATGTGGAACATCTAGGCCCAATGGGAAACCAAGGGTGGTTTGGCAGCTCTAACTTATAATTTCCTCGGTTTTGTTTAAATTAAGCCATAGTATAATTTGAATGCTGTCTTTCATAATTTCCATTTGGTTTTAGATAGTTCTGTGTGAAAATAAAAAAAATCCAATCTCATTTTTAATTTTTTTCATTCTTGAATCTGTGATTTTAAAATACTCTCTATAATAACTACTAGGGCATATTGAAATGCAGTGATGTTTATTTAAGTAATGATTTACTAATTTTCCTTTATACCTGTATGTATATCAAGATTCAGATAGTTAAAAGAGAATTCCTTTTTATCTCCATGGGTCTACGAAAAAGAAATATGCTTGTTTTAAGGAATACATTATCACTCTATCAGTTAGTATATTTTTAGTTATAGAGTATGTTGATAAAAGTTGCCAAAAAACAATTCTTTACTTTTCCCAGCTGAGTGATCTAAGAATGAATAATTATTCCTTTTTATGTTCTATATTCTGTAAAGCAGCCTACTACTAAGAGAACATTGTTATTCTTCCACTCTGCCCTCTTCATGAAATATTGACAAATGAATGAGCTATGTCCAGATGTAGGACACATGGTGTAGTACCAAAGCTGATGAATTAAGATTCTGGTACTTCATTAGTACAAACATGTACCATTTGTCAAGGTCTGGCAGACAGGGCCTGGCTGCCAGGTGTAGACCTCTGACCAGGAGAAAGTTGAGTAACCTGCTGACCTACACCTGCCTCCCAGGGTAGACTCATGCTCGTGCCAAGCTTTTGGTAAGCTCTTCCTATAAAAAGAGGCAGAGAGCACAAGGTCCTTAATGGTTCAACATTAGGTTTTCCATTTTATCCCATGGTTCTTCTTTTCTTGACCCAACCCTTGTTCCAACTTCTGGTTCCAAATTTAGATTATTTCTCTTATTTAGTTAACTAACTAGGCAGCTAGCAGGTAGTGTGGTGCAACTGAGCCTGGAGTCAGGAAGACCTGAGTTCAATTTTCAATACTCAGACACTTATTATCTCTATGATCTTGGACATGTGACTTAATCTCTGTTTTCCTTTGTTTCCTCAACTGTAAAATAGGGATAATAATAACATCTATTTCCCAGACTTATTGTGAAGATCAAATGAGATAATATTTATAAATTGCCAAGTACAATGCCTGGCACATAGTAGGTATTACATAAATGCCAGCTAGTAATAATAGTAAATGTTATTTTTTTACTGGCCCCAATTTTTGGCTGTTATCTGAGCCTGCTTTCCACTTAGGCTACCCTTGCTCTGAGTTACCCTAGTTTAAGTTCTGGATGCCAACTGTAAGTCTTGGATCTTTGTATCTTTCTTGACTCTTAAATCACAATTTTCCATCACAGGTCTGCTTTCCTGTTTCTAGTCCCCAGCACTGATTTAATGCCATCCCTTAGTATTAATTATTTACACAAATGTTACTAATATTATGAGTAAGGACTCTTTTTCTCTTTTTTTAAGAAGGAGCTTTTATATATGTCTGTCTATAGAAAAACACACACATAATACCGTAACCATATGCAAAGGGGACAACTGAATAGTCCTAAGATAGATGTCTTTAGCCTGGAAGGAACCTCATCATCCTGTGTGGGTGTCTTCTCTAAGAAGGGTGATTTGTAGTGACAGAAAACCTCCTCTGATTTTAGTCATCTTAATTGTGGCACCCAGAACCCCAGGCTGGGAATGCTGTTCCATAGAAACCTTAGAGATGCCGTTGGATCACCCATACTGTGAAGTGTGGGAAAGGGAACACAACAGAACATGCAGCCAGGGTCCTGAGGCCTAGGCTCAGGCTTTTCTAGGCAGCACCTGTGCATGCTGCCATATGTTAGCAGCATCCATGGCTGCAGGGCAGGGAGGGAAGTCGCTCTCTCCCACCCCTCACAGGAAGTCCCAGAGAAGGAGTTCCATTCCACACAATCTGGAGATGGGAATAAGAGAGCATTCATGAGGATTGTCTCTCCTTTTAGAAACTTCTGCCTAGCTCAGTAGCCAATAAGGGGAATGCTTTGTCATGTCAGAGCATAAAGTTTTAGGGTACTTGGCCAGAGTCTCTGTGACCCCAGGACCCTTGGATCAGTTTATCTACATTACACATACACATACACGTACAACATTACACATACAAAGCTAGGTTATAAAAGCGTATCAGTGTTTCAGAGTGCTATATATGATAACAGAGGAAGTAAAGAATGTTAAACTTCAATGGATATGTAGCTTCTTAAACCGCTACCTGGCGAAATGAAGAAGCAGCTATGGGTACGGCCTACCCCCCCCCCAAGGTGTTCTTAAGAAAAAAAATGAAGATTTACATTTTGAATCTTTTGAACTTCCTAATTTTGGTTCAATATTTATTCCTTTAATACTCTACTTTGAACCTTTTAATTGGTATTGTGTTGCAGTTTTATGAAACATATTACAGACTGGACTTCACATTCATTATGAACCTCTCAGAGAAAGTGAAGATGCCTTCTCTACTGATCTATACTTTCTCTGCACCTTAAAGTGTTGAAGAGTTTCCTAATGCCATGCTTAACTACCGATAGGGAAAATGCCATACCCTTTGTTGAAAGGAATGAGGGAGAGTGAGGTAGACTTCTAAGAATTTGTATTTAGTCATTTAGTGCATTTATTGGGGACATTTTCAAGTCAGTCATAGTGCTCTGTTCTTAAAGAAGTGATAACTGTAGTATGCTATGGTGCTTAATAAATGCTTGTTGACTGATTCATCATTTTAAATCTTGTGTATGGAAAAGAAAACCCATTGAGGATAAAACCATTTTGTTATATTGGTAAAAGGAGAAAGATCTTCAAAATAGTCTCTGAGATATCACTCCTTTTATTTGTTGAAGTTAAAAAAAGAAATTGAAAATATTAGTAATTCTTCTATGTGCCCTTGTCATGTGCTATGCCTGTAGATTGCTTAACCA